CCTCTCGTGTTGGAGGAACTGGGTTTCTTGAGCTGCCCACGGCTGTGGGAACCCGCTGGGCCTGGTGCCTGGGGACCCTCTCGGCTGCCCAGTGGTAAATAAGCTGGGCCACCGAGCGCCTGCCTCGCGGCTCCTCCGGTTCTGTCTGCGGCAGCCGGTCAGACACGGAGGGAGCCACTGCTGAGGAAGTCGGACCTTGGAGCAAAGGCGAGGACAGAGGCTGCCGGCCGGGACCAAGACCGGCCCCTCTCAAGAACAGCTCTGCTAGCTGGCGGAGCTGGTCAGAGATCAGACAGGCGTGAACTAGGTTCCTAGGTAAATCCTGCCTGTTTTCAACCTAGAAGGCACTTGGGCATCTCCAGTCGAACAGGAAGGGACGTCAAGTTGTAGGGCCCAGATACAAACTGGTTTTGCCTGCCTTGTTTCTTTTTTTCCTGTCTGTTCTCTTGCACACACCACATGATGTTGCTTTTAAAGGACACTTTTATTACTGTTTTTAGAATTACACATACCCAACGTGTAAAGTGCCCTCACTTTAAAAATGATAGTTCCTTCATGGGAAAAATAGTTCTCATCAGAAGGATGAGCTTCTAAGACCCTGAACTTCCTTTCTCCCCAGTTATTTGACACCTCACTTGAGCTCGAGTTGCTGTGTGCTAACAGCCCCGCTCCTCCGGAGTGCCCACGTGCCCAGCTTTCCTTCCTTCCTGTTTCCCTCAGACCACTTTCCTGCTCCCGTGTAGGCACCCACTCGCCACGCTGGCTTCATCTGGGGGGGTTCAGTTTATGCCCTCGACTGCTGGTCTCTCCTTCCTGGTTGGAGATGTCACTGGAAACTTGTCAGCCACCAGAAAGGGACACGCTGCAGCCTGCAGAGGTTGGGGGAGGCCGAGAGCAGCCAGCTCCCGCCCTGAGCTTCTTGGGGACCCTCCAGGACTTAAGGGACAAGATGGATCGTTCGGTCCTTCCTGGACGGCTTTTCCCGTAAGCGAAGCCAAGTTTCTTTGAGATTAACTCTGGCTTGAAAACAAAGTGCCTTCTGCTGCTCTGAGGGGTTGAGGCATATGGTATGAAGCAGCAATGTCCTTTCATTTCCCTGGTCTCTGGGGCACTGTTCTCTTGGCAGGTGTTTTCTTAACGTGAACATGCCCGAAGTCCTCTCCCTTGGCGTACCCAGACCACAGAGTGGAGGGCATTCAGTGTGCCAGGCAGCCAGCGGGCCCAGAGCATTGGGGAGTGGTGTCTACGCCAAGTCACGTGAAGTGACACTAAGCACTTTAAAACAGAAGGTCAAAGTGATGGGTCATTCTCTGTGGCAGGAGCCCCACTTGGGGTGAGTGTAATGTGGGTGGGTTAATCTAGACAGCGGGGGATTCGTGAAGACCAAGGAAATTCTTCCAGGACCCTGAGGTGGTGATGTGACAGATAGTCCCAGTCTTCTCCCCCCAGCAAGTTTGTCCCCTGTCATCTTTACGGACAGATGGCAGCACGGGCGCCTCCTGCCCCGGCACTGGGGCCTGGAAGGAATTGATGGGGAAGAGGGAAGGAGGGCATGTGATCAGGGTCCCAGGGCCACGGCCTTCAGATGCCAGGAAGCAAGTGTCATATGCTCCCGCCGTGGCCTAAGGAGGGGGTTCGTTTGTTTTGTGGCTTTGCTGACATCAGGGTTCCCCCTGCCAATGAGAGGAAAGCATTATCCTTTACCTTCAGGTGGTTTACTGTTCTGTAAAGAATACATGTAAATATTTTGTACAGAGCCCTGTATAAAATAAATAGCCATACGTGGTTACTAATCAGTCTCCTGACATGGTGTCCTGCATACCACTTGTGGGGAGTAGACTCTGGCCTTACGCACCTGGCCTTGGGGCACCCCCCTCTTCCACCTCGGGCCTGGGACTGCGCTGTAGTCTGCAGACTCTTGGTTGGCCTTGACTTGCCTGGGGAGCTTGGGGATTACCTGTCGCCGTTTCTCTTTCAGCCGCACACCAGGTGCTGCCTGGGGGTACTGGTCACCGCTGAGCAGCGCAGGCCACGTGGGGTATTAGTCTGGGGTCGTCTTGCCTATTCTCCACATATTTCTGGAGATGCCTTTGGCTCTAAAGGCAAGGCTGACATTTGATTTGGGACCTTCATCGGAGTGATGTGAATGTAACTTTATTTCCACATGTGATTTCCAGCCACAGAGGAGCCATCGAGAGCTATTCTTGCCAAGCTCCTCCAACATCCTCAACACTCCCAGCCGTTGGGTAGTGGGGGCCCAGGGCAGTGCCAGGTGCCTGTGGCCTCCACCTTGAGGATGGGGCCATCCTGGAGGAAGCATCTGAGTTGTCTGGGATGCTCGTTAGCGTTTCCCTGGCCCAGAGGGGAGGGGCACCCGAGACGGAGCAGGCACCGCTCAGCTCTTGGACCTTGCCCCACCACCGCGGGCCAGCTGCCCCTTGACCCGACGCGATGCGGAGCACGGGCTGGCTGGGAACCACCCCGCCCGTGGGAGCTCAGGCACCAGACCGCTACATTGAACAAGCAACTTGTTTTGAGAGGCAGATTTGGTGTCCGTTTCATCAGAGTTGATGGTTAAATATAAAGAGGAGAATTTTGGTCCTTCCAACATTGAAGGAAGCGTATGTGTGGCATAAGAAGAAATAACTGCGTTTTGTCCCCTAAAAGCCTTGGAATTTCCCAATAGGAGCGTCTTTTGTTCACAGTGATTCCGTTTGATTCCCTGTGAGTCTCTGCTAATGAGGTGACGAGGTGGGATCACTAGAGTTTCCAGAATGGACAGGTTTGGAGGGTGGGACTTTTACCCTTCCCACTGACTTCCAAGGAGGTGAGGGGACTGGCGGGGGGGGGGGGGGGGGGGGGGGGCGGTAGCTGGGGAGCCATGGCTATACCAGCTCCAGATTCAGAGATTCAGAAAACTTCTGGATGAACACCTCACAGTGCCAGGAGGCGATGCACCCAGAGGGTTTGGGGGCACTGCACCTCCCTCCCCTAAGCCTTGCCCCCTGCGTCTCTTCCATTTTCGTTTGGGGAGTTGTATCCTTTATAGTCGGTAAATGTAAGTAAAGTGTTCTGTGAGCCCTTCTAGCCAAGTACTGAACCCGAGGGGGTGTTGTAGAAACCCTTGAATTTGTGGTTGACCGGAGAGAAGTGTGGGCAGCCTGGGCGCCCCATTTGCGGCTGCATCTGAAGTGGGACTGAGTTAACCTGTGAGGTCTCCAGGTAGTGTCAGAATTGAGTTGTATTGTTGGGCCAGTTGGTGTTGGAGAACTGGAGAAGCGGTGTCAGAAAATGCCACGTGATAGGCGAGTAGAGGGGGAAATAGTGTAAAAACAGCCGCCGACTAAAGTGTGGGTGGGGGGCGCCTGGCTGACTCCGCTGGAGGACGTGCGTCTCTTGATCTCAGGGGTCGTGAGTTGGAGCCCCACATCGGGTGTAGAGCTTACTGGGGAAAAGTGTGGTGGTTTGATAGAGATGAAGTAGGTCATGCCAGTGGAAGGGGACTTGGGGTTCAGGCCAGGGACAGCTCTGAGCCCCAGAGAAGGGAGCTGGGACTGGGTGTGAGAGAGCTAATGGTGGCATGATGGCTGGTGTGTCACTTCCTGGCAGCGTGAGCTGCTCTGAGTTGCACCGTCCCTGAGACTCAATGTCAAGAACAGTAAAATAGGGATAGTCCCATCCCACATGGGCGGTTTAATGAGACGAGCTTTGTGGAAATGTACAAACTGTGAGGCGCTGGGAGTGTTTTAATTCGGTGGGGGTGAACGTTTATTGATCCATAAACGCCTTTAGCCAGCCCGGAGCTAGGACCCCCAAGTTCACCCAGGGAGCGGGCGGTGCCTGCAGGGAAGAACAGGCCGGAGGCTTTTGCCAAATCCGACCAAGAGACCATGGGGCCTGAGGCTCAGCCTGGCTTTATCTTCTTTCCCTGCCCCGCCTTCTCCTGCAGCCTTCATTCCTGTCCTTACAAAGGCCCTCCAGTTGCTCGGAGTCTTTTCTCCACACTTCCATGTGCTGGGATCTGCCCAGCAGCCTTTGTGAGCCAGCAGGCCTGTGGGCTTGCCTCCAGCTTCCTGCCTTTTAAGCGAGTGGCTTTGATGCCCGCCCCAGACCCTCAAGGAAGATGTGTCGCCTCTGGCAGGGGCTGTGAAGCCCATCCTCCGCTTCCTGCCCATACCAGCAGCAGCTGCTCTTAGCAGCGGGCTTCCTCTTGTCTTCCCCTGCTCTGGGAGAGACAGGCTGTCCCGCAAGTCCCACAAGTCCACGGGGCCTCCTGCTGCTTCCCCGGGCAGGTGGCTCGAGTCCAAAGCCCATGGGGTTTGGTTGCAAGTCCGCCCTGGTGAGCTGGCACGGGGCTGTCTGTGGTCAGGGCCCCCGGAAATGGGCTGTCCCCTTGGGAGTAGAGTCATCTGCACTTGACCCACAGTAGGGAGCACTTGCAGCCTGCCCATCTAGGATCCTTCACCCGCTGGCACGGAAGGTGCTGGAGGCCAGAACCTGGGCCAGCCCCGCACCCCTCCATTTGTACTCCTGACCCTCTCTGCTTGGCTGCAGTCAGACTCTGCTCTGTGCACCCTTGCCACCCTGCAAACTGCCTGTCCAGTTGCGATTGGCCCAAGAGCATCCTGCCCCTCAAGGTGGGCACAGGGGCGCCTAGACGGAGCGAGGACCCCAATGCTCCGTCACGCCTTTGCTCCACCACTGACAGAGGCCAACCTATCAATTTCCCGCTGCAATTCCCAGATGGCTGGGGATCCCGCCTGCGTGTAGGGTCCCAGCCCACCGCCCTTTCACTCCCTCTCACGACATCATACTCATCCCTTCCTGAAAAGCCATTTTAATTAGCTTACACAGCAGCAAAGAGGGAGCTGTGGACGATGAACCTGATGGGCTGTGCTTTGGAAACCGCCAGGTCTCTCTCGGGGCTCTGAACAGGACTAGCAGCAGTTCTATAAGAGGCCCCAGGCCTCTGACCGCAAAGGCAGGGAAAAGCCGGCCCCACAACGCCGCTGGCAAAGCGGTGGGCTACACGTGTTCAGCAGACGAGGCTGGTGGAAGCGAGTGTGGACTCACACGAGGCTCTCAGAGATTCCATCCTGCAAGACCTCTGGCCAGGGCCGTGTTTAAGTCTGGGTCAGGCAGAGTTCCGAAGAGCCACAGAGAAGAGCTGAGAGGTCTGGCCAGCAAGCCCCAGAGGGAGGGCAAAGGCACTGGGGCAGATGCAGCCAGGGACAACACGCACTGGGAGCTCAGGCTGCAACATCCCTTGCAAACAAAGCCATCCACGTAGCTTAGGGGCCTTGGTCTCCACAAGGCCTCCGTCTCAGCCAAGCACAACGGGCATCTCCCAGGCCACAAATGAGAGCCAAAGCACCAGCCCTGTCCCACAGCAGCATGGGGATGGATGGGGGGCTGGGTCAGCGTGGGGACGGGACCATCCTCAGCTAGTGGCAGTTCTGACAGCTGGGGTGGCAAGGAATCCCATTCACCCGGCAACGGCAGCCCCCACTGGTGTCTCCTGGGCCCTAGAGGATGGGGAGGAGAGAAGGTCATGGCAGTGAAAACAGTGCCCCGCCCCCGGCCCGCCCCGCTGCTCCATCACACCCTCAAAGCCCTGCACACCCCCACTCCGGCCCTTCGCTCGGGCAGGGCCGCCTGCCACGAATGGCCTTCTTGGCCTCAGCTACCTGGCGGAGGCAGTCAGTTAAGATCTTTCTGGGCTCCCGCAGCACCCCTAATTACAGGGTCCCAGTCTGTGCTCCCCTAGACCCAGAGCAGGCAAGGGACGTGATGGCTGTCTGCAAATCCTGGGTGGGTCAGCACATTGGCAGCTTGGGAGACGCTCCCTCTGCCTCCGTCCGTCCCGGGGTCCACCCGGATACAACTACGAGCCCCCGACCCCAGGAACTCAGCCCTGATAAACACAGCTGCCTTTGGCGGAGCCCTTCCCTTGCATGCTTTCATTTGGTTTTGAGGACAAGCCTGCAAGACGCCTGCCATCATCTCCATTTCACAGATGAAGAAACTGAGGCTCAGAACAGCCTAACCACACAGCCGGCGTGCACCAGAGCCGGGGACCCGCTCTGCCTCCGGGCCCAGACTGAATCCTCACTCACTGCCCTCTAGGGTGCGGTCAGCAAACTTTTTCTGCAAAGTGCCGCTTCCATCAGGTGTCTGGGGCCATCGGGTCTCGGCCTTTGTAGTGCAAAAGCGGCCACGGACGGTACACAACGAATGCACGTGGCTGTGCTCCCAGAACACGCTGCTTGTGGACGTGAAACTCGCGTCTCGCATCATTTTCACGTGTCACACCAAACAACTTCTTTTCTCGATACTTTTCAACCGTTTAAAAAATGTAAAAACAGTCCTCACTTTACAAACTGGACGGATCCAGGCAGGGAGTTGGATTTGGCCCAGGGGCTGTTCCCCACTCTGGGGGGAGGCGCCCGGGCGCCTCCCCGTCATGCTCCCCAGCCTCTGCTTCCCCCCGCCCGCCCCCAAGACTCACCCCAGGCCCCCAGCGTGGGCCCTTGGTGACCCAGCAGATTTCGGTGTGGCAGACGGTGCAGCGGATCCAGTCACAGCCGTCCTTCTTCTGCACCACGATGCGGCACTGTGGGCAGTGCATGGCCTCGCCCTGCTGCAGCATGGACTGGGGCACGGCAGGTGCCAGCCTTCAGCCGGGCTGGGGCGGCTGCCGGCCGGAGCCCTCCCTGACCCCTGGCCCACCGCAGGGACAAACCGGCTGGCCCTCTGGGGGTGTGGGGTCACTCTCCTACGCTCTTCTGCCTTTTGTAGACGTGCTCCCCGCTGCTCACCCCGTGACCGCTTGTCCTAACCAGTCCCGCTTCTGGATGGCAGTGACCAGCCCTTTCTGAGAACTGAGAAGCCCCCAACCTGCGGACCGAACCCTCCCAGAACCCAAATCCCCAGGCCTCGGCCTTGACCCTGCCTCACCCTGAGCATCTCTGTTGTCTGCCTGGCGGCCACATCGTTCTGAGCCCGCAGGGCCAGGTCGTCCTGGTAATCCTTGCAGTTCATCTGCTCGTGGATGGCCTGTGGCGGGCGAGGGGCTCGATGTGAGAAGGCTCCAGACCAGTCTGGAGAGACCAGGGACGGGCATCGTCTCGTCTGGCCTCGAGACCAGTCTCATTAGGGGTCAACCACTGAGACGATGAGGGCGGGGAGCGGCCTGAGGTCAGGGTCCGGCAAGACTCAGTCTGGGTTTGGGGTCCGGGCTCAACTCAGGACAGGGGTTGAGCATCAGTCTGGGGCCAGGGGCGGGTTGGTGTGTGACTAGGAGGCCAGGGTCAGGGCTCAGTTTCGGGCCGAGGCTCAGGCTAGGCTGAGGTTCCACCGAGAGCCAGGGCTCGGTCCAAGGGTCAGGCTCAGTTTGGGGCCCGGACCAGGCCCCGCCATCGACGTGCGGCTGTCCGTGGTGAAACGACCAGGCTGGGGTCACAGCTCCCTTGCCAGGAGAACAAGCACCGAGGTGCGGTGAGCTCCTGGCAGGACTAGGGTGACTGGACAGCGTGGGCCCCTGTCCCCACCTTACACAGCAGGCAGTTGACGTGGAAGCACACTGGGCAGGTAAACTCGTTGACATCATCCTCAAAGAAGCACCATCCCTTACAGTCCGGGGTCTTGCAGTGGTAGCTGAAGGCACTGCGGTTTTCCGCGATGGAGACGCCCAGGTCCAGAAATCGCTGGTAATCCTCGGGGGGCAGCAGCTGCCGAGAGGCCACAACCTTGTTTGCTCGGGGTTCAGAACAGCTGACGCGGGCCCGCCCAGCCACCAAATATCCTCCAGGAAGCCCTCGACCCATGAAGTCCAACCCAGCCCTGCTCAGTGTTTAAAAACTCCATTCAAGGGGCGCCTGGGTGGCTCAGTTGGTTAAACATCCAACTTTGGCTCGGGTCATGATCTCACGGTTCGTGGGTTTGAGCCCTGCATCGGGCTCTGTGCTGACAGCTCAGAGCCTGGAGCCTGCTTCGGATTCTGTGTCTCCCTCGCTCTCTCTCTGCCCTTCCCCTGCTGGCACTCTGTCTCTTTCTCTCTCAAAAATAAAAGCATTAAAAAAAAATTTTTTTTTTTAAATAAAAACTCTCATTCAAAAAGTGGGTTAGAAGTTCTGGAGATGGATGGTGGTGATAGGTGCACAATGTGAGTGTACTTAATGCCACAGACCTGTACACTTAACATGGTAAAAATGGGGGGAAAAAAAGAAAAGAAAAACGGTAAAAATGGGAAATTCTGTTATGCATATTCTACAATTTAAAAAAAAGGAAAAATAAACAAAAATAATAACCAGCAATGCTGGCGAAGATGTGGTTAAACTAGTATCCTGGTACATCACACTGGGAGACAGCCGTGTGGCAATTATGTGTCAACAAAACTTCTCTGACCCTTTAGGACTCACTCCCCATCTACAGGTTCATCCCAAGAAAATAATGTACAAGAAGAGACACCATTCAAAAAGTTCTTGAAGCATTCGTTACAAACTGAGAAACTGGAATTATTAAGAGAAGAGATATAAGCAGGATACATGCCATAGAGATTTATAATAATCCTCAGAAAAGTTCTATAGCAACATAGCAAAAGGTGTATCTATGCTGGTCACAAGTAAAAATCATGCCTACATTCCCCATGTTGATTGAGGGCTGATTACGAGAGTTACGTCTGTCAAAATTCACCCAACTGCATGCTTACAATGGGTGCTTTTTATTGCCTGCAAAGTTCACCTTAGTAAAGCTGATTTAAAACGGAATAAAATCATGTCTGCCCACAGACACCAAGGGAAACGGAAAAAATGTATCCGGGGATTTTCTGAGATGCGGGGGTTGTGGGTGACTTTTCTCTTTGATTTCTGTTCCGGTTCTATGTGGTGTAGCCATGTTTTTTGTAAAGATAAACTCCACTGCGTCACCCTGCTGATCTCTGCCCCTTTCTCCCTCTGCCACACCTGAGCATTCTGAGTCTTGGGTCAACTCCCAAGGCCTCTGGGGAAGCACGGGGCCCTGCGGCCCCCTGGAAGGAGCTCTGGCCCCATCACAATGCCCTTGGCAGGGGTGGACCTCAAGGGAAAAACCCCTGGATGATGACAATGGGTGCCGGGACATCTGGAAGGACTCTATGTCTGGGGGCCTTTCCAGGCCCGAGTGAGAAGGCCTCAGCAACCACCCAGAGCCGCCCTTCCCCGGTGCCCCACAGACAACAGATAAAAACGAGGCTGTTCTTGGATGTGGGGAGAAGTTCCCCAAGTTCTACCCTTTCTGCCTCCCCTTTTGGAGCAGAGGTAGACCCCTTGGGCTCCAGGAAATATTTGGTGCAGTCAGGGACGTTCTCGGAAGCAGGATCCTAAGGGAGAGGCAGGAGGTACAGAGGTCTCGCGGATGTGCCTGTTGGGGGGGGGGGGGGTCTCCCATTTGGACCCCAGCCACTTTGACCCTGCCTCCATGTTTTGGTCTGGGAACCCCAAGATGCCCAATTCTGAGAAGGCCAGTCCCGAGCAGTTTAAAAACCACGAATCAGGCCCAGCAGTCGATTTTCCAGGGGGGGAAATGGAGACTCCAAGAAGGGTGGGATCTTGATGATGATAATAATAGTAACAGCGAACACACTCGTGCAGACGTGTGCAACACCAGAATGGATTGCTGGAGAAAGGGCCCCGATTTATTCATGTCTCCCTGACTCCACACCCTTGGATGGTGCCCTCGCGGGGACTATGGGCTCGAGCATGCTCACTGGGATGGCAGCAAAAAGAGCAGACGCGTGGCAAGGACTCTGCACTGGAGCTCCCTGCTGGCTGCTCCGGGACCCTGGAGGCCACCAGCCCGGGAGCAGGCCTCGACCAGCCTGCCGGTGGGTGACAGAGCAAAGCGGAAACAGGCCCAGCCGCCCCGCCATTGCAGATAAGGCCATCATAAATCAGCCCGTGACAGCTGATCCACCGGCTAAACCCACATGGGACCAGCCAGGCCCAGCTGGAGCTAGAAGAATCATCTGGCTAAGTCCAACCCCGATGACTCACTTGCAGATTCGTGAACTAAATAAACAGTGGTTGTTTGAAGACACTACGTCTGGGATAACTTGTCAGGCGGCAAAAGCAAACGGATGCGAGGGCTCACCCATTACTCTGAAGTCTTTTACACACACACTCTACTATATTCTTCGCAACCTTCGAAGAAGCTAACTGCGACCCTAGCTGAGATGAGAAAACCAAGGCACGGGGTGAGGATCTGACCGGAGGTCACCCAGGCCAACGGCCCCAGAATTTCCCCATTCTTAATGGCTCTGCTGTCTTTCCTTCCCAAGAGTGCTTTCTTTACCGCCTACTTCCCCCAAGTCCCGTCCTGTTCACTGCTTGGCCCTCAGCAGCCCACACAGAAGGCTCCGGATAAATGTGTGCTGAGACCGGTGCCCCCAACCCCACCCCCACCTGCCAGCTCAGGGTGCGCCCTCCGCCCCTGGCCTTACCGCCCGGATCTCCCTCTCCAGCAGCTTGCCCGAGCACGAGTACGTGTTGTCAATGAAGGGGCAGGAGACCTCGGCCTCCTGGCTGTTGCGGATGGTGCCCTGCAGACACTCCCTGGAGGGGGTGAAGGGCGGGAGGGGGAGGTTAGGGTCATCTGAACCCCATCCACCTGGATTCCACCCCTCACGTAGTGAGGCCTGACCCCAGGTGGGCTTCTCTTCAATTCCCCTCTTCCTTCATATCCCTCCCATAAACCCATCTCCAAAGCGTCCACTTCTGTGCACCCCACAGCCACCCCCCCGTTGCTCTGGTCCAGGCCCCCATCACTCCTTGCCTGGAGCAGAGCAGAAGCATCCTTCCCGGGTTCCCTGGGCCCACCTCGCCCTCCGACACCATTCCCAACACACTGGCCTCACAGTCCCCAGCGGCCCCCCATCCGGATCCGCCCAGAACAAACCTGCTCGCCTCACTACGGCTCACAAGAGCCCTGAGGACTTGCCCTCTCTAACTAATCTCTCGGTCCATCTCTGCTCCAGCCACACTGACGCCTGCTTGGCCACAGACAGGCCAGGCACACCGCTGCAGCAGACCCTCGGGTCTCTGCTCAAATGCTACCCCCTTAGGGGCTCTCCTGACCTGCTCCTGGAGCAGGGCCCCTGTTCTTTGATCAGAATCCACTAATCACAATCCGCTGGTGCTTAGCATTTGACACAATTTACAATTCCATCAGCGATTATTCGATTAATATCAGACTCTCTCCACCGGAACGTAAACTCCAAGGAGGCAGGAACTGAGCTTCTTTGTTCCCTCCTGGATCCCCAGGCCTGGCACAGTCCCTGGCACCCAGGGGCCGTGCGAATGTCCGCTGTGGTGAAGGCGGACATGGTCTGCACAGCCCAGGACCGGTGGCCTGGCGGAGCCTCAGAGAAGGACGGTCTGCCCACCAGCCAGGCGGAGAGCGGGGCTGGCTCAGTCTGCCGGCGCTAGGGCCTCAGTGCCCTTGGCTGGGCCTGCTGCAGAGAGCGGCAAAGGGCGCAGGCTCTGGAACCAGAATGCCTGAGCAGTGTGGCCTTGAGCAAGCGGCTGGCCTCCGAACCTCACATTCCCCCTCTGCAAAATGGGGAGACAGCGCCTACCTCGCAGGTTTTTGTGAGCGTCCAATGAGATGTAAGCGCACAGGCCCCACCCACTCTCAGCCCTCCGGTAATCGGCGGCTGCGACAAACGCTGCGTTGCTGGGGGTGGGGTTGGGGGCCGCACCTGCAGAAGGCGTGCAGACACTCACGCAGCACCACGGCATCGCCGGGCGCCAGCACCAAGTAGCACACGGGGCACTCGGTGGGCTCGGTGTTCAGCACCAGGCTCCTCTGATCCAGCTGGACGTGTTGCAGGTAGTTTCCCTCCTGCTGCTGCTGCTTCCGCTGGGCACACGGGGCGGGGCCGCGGGGCGGGTCAGGGTCTCGGGGGAGGGTCAGACCAGGAAGGGGGCAGGACCAGGGGGCCAG